TTAATCTCACACATCCCCTTGCTTCCTTCCCCCTCCCTCCCTCTCCTCCTGCAACTCTTTATTCTGCTTTCTCTGCCTCTCACTTGCTCTCCCTCTCTCTCTCCATCACTGTGATTTGCATTTATACAAAACACTTTGCAGCAGATTTAACAGGAAACCTCAAGCAAGTGGGATTTTGGCGCCATGCCAGTGCTGGGAAGCCTCCTGACTCCAGTTACTCTGTCTGTGTGTGTGTTATTAAAACTTTGGGAGGTGGGTGCAGAAAAAAGAGAGAGTCAGACCCACTGTGGCCCCTCGCCCACCCACACACTCCCCGCTGAGATGAACGCTGGACAAAAGAGAATTCAGATCCATGTTAGAATAATGCACACTGACAGGAGGGGTGTCATGGCCTCGTCAGGTCACGTGACCCCACGGGAGGAGGAGCGGCCAGAAGGCGCAGATGATTCACACCATCCTCAGCAGAGAGAACCCTCGAAATGATCAGGCTTTGTAGACTCACAACTGATCTCAAAATAAATATGGAAAAGTTGTTTTTTGCTGTTGTGGACAGCAGAGTAAGATGTGAACTCACAGCTTTACTCATGTCTTGTCTGCCTCTGAGAGGCGGTGTGTGAGATCTAATTATTATAATCGATTAATTTTTAGTCGTGGTTTCCCAGAGCCAAAGATGACGTCTGCTAACTGCTTGTTTTGTTTTCAGTAATACAAAAAGAGAGGCAGCAAGTCCTCACAATAGGGAGGCTGGAAGTGACTGTTCAGGGCTTTTAACTGAGAAAGGCTGAAAGAAATAACTGCTGATAATATTTGTGGTGATCAACTGATGGATGATATCAATCATTTCACCTCCAGTGTGAGCTGAGTTGTTCAGAAGTAAATCTACATTTTTTTCACAGTAAAAAAACAGGAACATTTTTGCCAGGAATACACTCTGCACCCATACACCTGAACACTACCCAGTGCAGCTCCAGTCTGATCTACTGGCCACTGAGCAGCTCCACTGGGGCAACTGGGGGTTAATGGTCTTGCTCAAGTGGTAATGATTGTAATTAGAGAGGACAAGAGCTGCTCTTTCACTTGCGCCCACCTAAATCTGTCCTGTCTTCTGGTCACTTTTGTCCTCATTTCACTTTCGATATTTTTACTTTCAACTTGACAAATGTTTCCTTTCCTTTTCTTGTACTTTCTCTTTTGCTCATCAAAACAAACGTCCTCTTCGGTCCATGAAGCGTTTAGAAAACAAAATGCTATGTTAAGGACATGTATTGTTTTGTCAGAATATACTTATTAACTCACCACGGTGTCTGACTTAAACCATCATTTTGATCCTTCTAGAGTTTGGCAGTGAACCTGCTTAGTGTTAAGATAACATTAACACACTGTGTTTGAGTCCTGTTTTGTTTAATGAACTAAAGAAGAAAAGTGTCAATATTGTTCAAAGCGAGATATTGGAACATGCATTGTTTTGGCTTGGGTGGTATTGGTACAGTACGTACCCTGCCCTGCCTGTAGCTGCTAGTGCTGTATCATTCTATGGCACTGCCCTCTGCAGGTGGAACGTGTCAATCTGTGATCGACTTTCAGATGCAGAATACCTACGTTGCCTTTCTGACCTGTAGTGGTGAGATGACAGTTTTTATTTCATTCTTCGTGGCACAGACAACCTGCTGGGGGCTCTGCTGCGGATTAAGGAGGTGATCAGACGGCGGGTGGAGAGCAGCGAGGAAGAGGACACAGATGAAGGAGGGATGACCCAACACCTGGAAGACATCCTGCGGGAGTCCAGCGGTGAGAAACACACCAGCACACACACACACCGACACTGTAAATGTTTGAGAAATACGCAATTTTGAAAGTGAAGCTTTCTCCAAAATCATTAATGTACTCCAGGAAATATTGGCTAAAGTGTTAGCATGAACTGTGCGAGAACAGGCAGTGAGAGTTTAAAACAAATAATCTTAAATGATATGTGCAACAAAAACACCAGACCTTTGATGTGGTGTTAAAATAAAGAGCCGGCCATTACAGTGGTGTTAAGTGCCTGTTTTATAAATCTTTCTGCCACATTTAACTTCACTTTTTTCCCCATCACACAATTTATTTCGTTGACACCTTCAGGTCCTTTAGTCGCCGGGCGGACCAAAGACTTTGTGCAGAGGATTTTGGCAGCCAGCGCTGGCGGTCAGACCCAGCGCAAAGAGCCCCCGCAGGGAGGAGATGAGGCAGCGGGGTAAACCCCACGCTCTGCCCCTCCTCCCTCTCTCTCCCTCTTCCACATCCTCCCCTCCCAGCACCACCTGCCTGACCTGACCGAGCTGCTCTCACAGTGTAAAAAATATAAGCGAAGAGGTGAAGCAGAGGTGGGGAAATAGAAGAAGAGGAGGAGGAGGAAGAGGAAGGAGTAGCCCAAACAAAATGGGAGTGAATAGTCACCGTGCTCCCGGCCACCTCCTGCTGGCCCTCCACACAGCAGCCGCCTTCACTGCTCTCTCTGCAGCCTGCACCACAAACACCGCCAGGCCGGAGCTGCTGCTGCTGCTGCTGCTGATGTTTCTGTGTTCTGTGTGTCTGTGTGTGTGTGTGTGTGTGTGTGTGTGTGTGTTGGACATGTAACATACTGTATGAGTGTGTATAGTGTTCCTCTCTCCCTCTCTGTGTGGAATTTGTATCCCATTGTGCCTATGAATAGACATTGCACTGTTTTGTAGATGGTTGTAGTTGTCGGCAGGGGACCGGTAGTGAGCCGAGGGCAAGGGGGCATTTGAGGATAGAGGAAGTGCTAAAATAAGGAAGTGGGAGGAGCCCAGGCCTGAAAAGTGTAGGAGCAGCTTTGTCTGTGTGTGTGTGGGTGTGTGTGTGTGTGTGTGTGTGTGCTTTTTTTTTTTTTGGCTGGGCTCCAGTAGAAACACTGCATACCGTTCAGATTGCGTCGTCTGAAATGCCAGTAAGTGATCAGTAAGGAGTCCTGATGCCAGACCAGCTGTTAATGGAAACAACAGACTTTGTGTTGGAGCTTTAAGACCACCCTCCCTCTTTATCCCCGCCATCACCCTGTCAAAGTTAAAAACGAAGCTGCACCTTAATTCCAGCTGCCCAAAGATAAAGGAAACGGCTGAACCACTTCGACACCAAAAACTCTCACTGCTTCAGATGCTGCCAACCATTAACACGTCATTTTGTTTTGGGAAACGAGGAAAGTGACTGAAACATTTTGATCGTTGTGATGTTTACTCACACGCATCCTTAAAGGGTGATGTAACTGAATGCACTGTAATTCCCTTCACCTAAATGCACTACGATGAAGGATGTGAGAGGCTGTGGTGTGACAGACAGGAAATCACCGACGGGTCGTTGTTTGGTCAGCCTTTAGCTCTGCAGCCTGGTGCTCCTTTAGCTTATCTGCAGTGGCTTTATTTGTACCCACAAAAGTGTCCTCAGTGCTTTCCCCAAGCCCTCTCCTCAACCCCTGACCTTATTATGTAGCGCACCTTCCTGAATTGCAATGACAAGTAGACAAAAACACTTGTAGTTCTAGAAAGCAAATAAGTTTTACTTCTTTTTCATTACGATTTTGTTATTTGACAATGCCACAGCCCACAAAGTGGGAGTCAGTGAGAGTTTTCGAATCTGCCTTTCTTCTGTGGTCTTTGCTGAAGCTGTAGACCAACCCGTCCAATGTCTGTAAATGTTGGACATAAAAAAAGTCAAGGACCCCTTGAATTGCACTGTGGTAAGAGCAACTAAGCACCTTCCAAGAGGGCTTCAGATCCTCCACAAGAGAGAAAAAAAGACTCTTGACACCTTTTTCTAAAGATATATATATTGATTAAGAGACTTTTCACGGGTGTTCGACGCTTCGTGACCGACTGGCGGTCTCGATTTGTTTCAGTATGGTGCTACTGTATGATGAAAACTAAACAGCAATGCAAACCTGAGCAGAGGCATCAGGCAGTAAGCGCTGACTGGTTTTGGTGCGAGCACGTTTTGTTGTAATAGGCAGTTTGTTTGCATAATGACACCTTTGTGAAGTGCCAGGAGCTCAGTGCCACAGAGACCTGTGTTATTATGTCTGAGCATAAACACTTTTACAAGGTAGAACGTAACGTGACTACTGCTCCAAGTTTAGCTTCGACTTTGCTGAGAAGAAAAGGGCCTGCAGGATTGTATAGGGCACTATCACAACGTCAGCCAAAAACAGTCAACCAAAATATTTTCCTTTCAGATTAAGACCTATGCATGGGAACGTAGCTGGCGCCAGTTCCTGTGAATGTCATCTCTGGGAAACATAAGCAGAGGAGTGGCTGTTAGCTACGTGATACCCTGTTTTTCAGCCTTGACGAGCTCCTGTGTGGGCTGCGTTCCAATGCTGTAACACACTGTTCCCTTCCTATGGAAACTACATTTCCCGTCTCAAGCAGGAGAGCAGCAGTTAATCTTAAAGTTTCCACCTCCTGGAGGTCTCGCTCGTGGTCCGTTTGAAAGCTGCAGATATGAGAGTTGATGGGAGTTGAGTTGCTCCTGTTGCAGTTTCTGTGTCCTTATTACTCTGGGAAATGTTGCTTATGGTTGTATGAGTATAGAAGTGTAAAGTAAGCAGAAGAGGTAGTGTGGCTCGTGGACACAGGCTGATAGTCTGTGGTTTTGTAGGACAAGATGCTGCAGCAGGAGGCTCTGATGGCACCGAGGCTTCTTACACATCGCCACAGAAACCTGGTCTGGTTTGTCATGTTTTCACATAACAGATGATCTAGGACACAGTCGGAGGCCAGCATAAGAAAACTCTCAGCCTGTTGTTTAAAAGTGTACTTTGCATTCTTTCTACTGCTGAGATGTGCAACCACCCCCCACCCGCCCTTCTCTCGAGGTTTGGGAAGAGTCACAGGATCTCCTGCTGACCTTCACGTACCCTTGAAAACAGCAGAAAACAACCATATAAAGCGCTGAAGTTTAGAATGTTGTCTAAGCCAGATGTTATGTCGGAGGACGACAAGGTCTTTGGGTTTATTAGAGATTCCACAAGTTTGTCCTGATGTTTTCCTTCCTCTAAAGTGGTCTTACATAAAACAAAACACCATCTGCTGTGTACATTTATCTACAGTCACATTGAGGACCCCCCTGCTCACTATCGATAAAATGTTAATTACAAATCCTCTACATTTAATACTATTTAGTTTGTTTGCAGCCAGAATAATGAAGCCAGTTCATTTGAAAACAAATAATGAAAGGTCTGTATTTAAGAACCAACTGCAGCATTCATTTGTTCAAGCCTCATGAGCGTGGGTGATACCAGTCTTGTACAAATCGGTGGAGAGATGTTCTGTCATTCTTCACACATGATTCTTTTCAGCTTTGTTCAGCTTCAGGGGTTTTGTTGCTCTACAATACCTTTACCTTTAAAATACTCCAACGTGTTCTGCTGGATTCACAGCAGGGGACATCACGTTTCTCCTTTGTACAATCTGATCCATTGTCATGTGGGAAAACTGCTCTCCTGCCAGGCTTCTCCAGACTGGGAGTCATTGTCTCACTCACTATTTGGAAACAGAGGTTTGCTGTCACAGTGTCGTCTGTAAATGCCATCTCCGCTGCACCGTTCACACTCACGCAGGTGACTGCACAGTCGACGCTCTGCAGTCACCGCGGTCGTCCTGGTCCACGCCAAACATGCTGGACCCATCTGATCCAAACTCTTTGTTTTGGTTTCATCTGACCAAAGAAAGCGCTGCTGATATTCCTCAGGCTTCTGTCTGGGTTCTTCTGCACAGTTTAATCTTGCAGGTTTGTGAGCATTGGTTTTCCTCTTAAAGGTCGACTTCACACAGCATCCTTCACTCTGTCATTGAAACACCAGTTTCTACAGATTATCTTTGCATCAGCTCAGAAGCACTCACCCGTCTGTCAGTGAAAGCTTGTGTAACTCATGAGTAGCATCGTTGGCTCTTCCTGTGCCTCCGAACCATTGCTGCACCTGTGTGTCTGCCATCAGTCACTGCTGATGCTCTTCTCCCATGAAGTCTCACAGTCTGTGGTTTTTTAATAATCTGCTTCATGCAGTTCACTTTAACTGGAAATCCCAGGTGTACTCACTCCAGTTGCTCTGAGGTTGAACTTTGGGGCCCATAGTTTCAATATAGTCTAACGTGTTTGTTTTTAATTAAACATAAGATCAGCTGTGCTCCACTTGAACTAAAAAAATAAAACATGTATTGTAAGATGATAAAATTGATTCATTCACCATGTTAGTGATATTGCACAGGGGTGTACTCGGGTCTGTGGCATCCTGTCCTGTTCATGCCAAACAGTTGAAACTCAGATCCAAACATCAAATGATGCTGGAGTTGAGGTCACTACTGAGCTCGTACCATAGAATGTCCCTTTATCTGTGAAGCGCTCATGGGCAGAGGCCAGTCTTGGCAAGGCCACCTGTCTCTGCTCGTATTCCTGAATCACTTTCCCAGAATCCTTCTGTTTATGTGGATTCGGGAGCAGGCGGCAGATATGTGACAGATGTCTGCTGTTTGGGCAGTTCCCCTGTCATGACGGCCGTTACAGGGTGAGCTCTGGCTGGGTCAGCCAGGAACAGGATTTAGAGAATACTGAGCTGATGCTCTCAGCAACTTGGCCAACTCTGACATAATAAGGACAATGACTCAGTGATTCTTATCTGAGTTACTTCTCCTTGGATGTCATCGTCTGCCAAAGACAAAGGGAAGTAAACAGTCCTGAAACTGTCGCTGATGTGCTCACTGGCTGTTTTTAAGGAAGAGAAAGTTTTGGAGGAAGTTTTTCTGTCCTCACAGTGAAAGCTGGATCCACAGTGACAGCGACTCATAAGAGCATTGTTAATGTCAAACACACAAATGAGATTTAGCTCAGTTCCTTAGATATGTGGTGCGTTAGTACAGCTGCTAATGGAGAAATCTTTTTTTAACTAGTTAACTCAAGCCTTCAGCTCTTCTGTGCTGGTGACCTAAGTGTATAACTCTCTACATTAGGAGGACCTACTTTTGTTGTTCATAAGTGGCTCTGGTGCTGAAACACGTAGACCGACGCCCCCCACTGGACACGGCTGTGTTGCAGCTGCTCGCAGCTATCTGTCCACTGGATGCACTGGGCGTGTGTGTGTTTCGTGAAGTGTCACCGTTCTTAAGCCTGGAATTCACTTGTGAACGTATCTCATGTCTGTATCTATTGGCATGAATTTAATATTTAATGATGTATTTGATTTAGAGGGACTACAGAGATTTTCCTTCTACCAATGCACAGTATTCAGAAATTAGAGACAAAATAATGCAGTCTTTAAAATCCAAAGACAATGTAAATTAAGTTCAAATTAATTTTGATAGCCCAGTACCACAAATCACATATTTATCTCAAGGGGCTTTTACAATCTGTTCAGCATACGACACCCTCTGTCCTTGGACGTAGACTTTCTGTTACAAGAAAAGAATTGTACCTAATACTGGAAATGTGGCTGTTGAGTGTCCCTCTGCTTTGACTTGGATGAAGTGAAGCACAGACACGACAGAACCACGTCATCCCTGGAACAAGACACACAATTAATAATAGAATAAGTCATTTAAAAAGCAGAAATACCAACCAAACATTCACTATGTCTAAGTCACGATCTGCTGCCTTTTTCCATTTGATATCACTGTAATGGACTGTCTTTGGGTTTTGGACCAAGCGAGCTGTTTGCATCCCTCAGCCTGGGCTCTGGGATGAATGTTTTCACTATTTTTGACACTTGATAGATGAGTCTACTGGTTAAATAATCAGAATTGGGTCTCTGTGGCTGGAAAGGTTTGAGGTTGAACAGCTGCCTGTTGAGGTGTCCATACTGTCAGATCCTCCTCGCTCAGGGAAGTGCTAACGTAAGTCTGGGCAGACAAATGGAAAAGTAGTGTCAGAAACTTGCCTCCCTCTCTCTGTCACTACCTTTCATGTGACTGCAGTGGTCTGAACAGTCCCTCAGTAAGCCTACACTGGTGGGACGCTGCCGACCTCCAGGTGCCCGTTCTCACTCTGCTCCAGTGCTCACATTGTCGGAGATAGTCGGGCCTCT